AAAATAAAAAATAATTATTATTTTGAAATATTTTTATAATTAATTTATATAAAAAATAAAAATTAATTTAAAATTTAATAACTTTCCCATTAAAATCATCCAAATTGGATCATAAAAGATAAGCTTTTACATTTTCTATTAAAGTGGTTGAAATTACCTTAAAAGCTGCTAAAAAAAAATACTAATTACCTTAAGAAGCCTAAAGCAGCCTGGAAGATGCCAGTGATGAAGGTGGCGGTGAAAACTAAATGGAGATACAACGTCGGATCGTCCTTCGACGATACGACTGAACTTATGGTTTGAGCGACAAGCAAGGAACTGGCAGCCACTGTCCCCACCGCGAGGTGCTTTGAGGTTCCGAAAATGGCATAGACAAAAGGCGGAACGAAACTCGAATCTGCAAACCATATGTCATTTCCAATCTCTTAAAATTAAGGAAACCAACTTTTAGACTTAGTCGTATCAAAAACCGATCCGAGTTGTTATACCTTTATTTTCGAGTCAACAAAAGTAGGTGTAATAATCAATCATTAACTTTGTGCTTAAGACTCTGATTAGAAATCTCAACATTCAATTTTAGAACCAATGAGGGGAGTTAAAAAAAGAAATGTTATCTCGTGTAGTATAATTTATTTATAGATAAAAATAAAATTCAATTACTGTTCAATGAATTGAGACACGGAATGGAGCTTACAGAGGCCGATGATCGGAGGAACGCCGGCGAGTTTCGCGTAGCTGATGCCTTGAGGGATGGCAACGCTGGTAATGGTGAGACCGGCTAGCAAGTCGTACTTGAGCAACCCCAAATTGTAGTGGGGCAGCCATTGGAGCGACGGAACGAAGTACTGAGCCGCCTTTTTCACCTTTCCGATCCCTTTTTCGTCCTCGAACTGACGGAAGGGATCATCGGGGAAAAACGTTTCCTTGAAACCGGACTTGAACTTGGAGGCAAAGCCTCTCGGCTCGGAGAAGTTGACGACAGGATGGCTAGAAGAACTCGTCGTCATGGGTGTGGAGAGGGATGGGGAAAGAAGGAGAGGAGTTTTGGGGGATTAAGGAAAGGAAGAGGCAAGCGGGCATTATATAGAGCAAGAGGATGGGCGAGAACAGTGTCTAAACGGTGTAAAATGGTACAAAGATAACAAAACCGAGTGGATAGATAACAAGAATTTGACAAAGTGACAAAAGGGGAGAAATTCTAGTGTGTCCAAGTATACCACCTGACACTAATCCTACCCAATCAAGCAATGATACTTCTTTCCACAAAAGCACCTAATGGGGGTAGTTGAGTTTACCTCAGATCCGGAAAGAAACATAACTGGATTCTAAAAATATCGTTTCTTTTATGAAAAGGGAAAATGATTTATTCATCACGTTTTATCAAAATAATTTATTGATATCCCTTTCCTTTAGACTTAATTATTTTATTTTATTTATAATTATTAAAAAAAATTATTTATTGTAACAAAAAGTGGATATCAACTTGTATTGTAAAAAATACATAAAAAAATATTTTAAAATTACATTGTTTTAATAAAATTTTATTTAAAAAATTGAAATATCCTAATTATTTATAAAGTACGAATGATAATGTTTTAATTTTTTCTTGTAATATTTTATTAAAATAAAGTAGTTTTGAAATATTTTTTCACTTAATTTTTTTATAGGTTTTGTTGATAAATATTAATATCTTATTATAATAATTAAAATTTATCTTTATAATTTTACTTTTATTTATAATTAAATGAACAAATCCTATCAGATTTCTATTACTTTAAAAATAATGATAAACTAAAAATATTAGTCTTAAATGTTTATTAAAATGAAAACTAGGACTCTATAAAAAAAAAAAAGTAAAACAATTAAATCAAATTATTCTTAGTTAGAAAATGGGATAATTAAATTTGAATGGAAGAAGTAATATTTTCTATAATAGTGTCTTATAACATGACATAATTTTTTTAAGCTCTTTTAAGAATATAATATGTTTCCTGTATTCAACTTTAATATATCTAGTTTTTAATTTAGAGCATTTAAATGTAAATTTCATTTAGTATGATTATCATTTTAAATTTTAAATTTTAAATTTTATAAAATTTGCAATTATTGAAAACCAAAACCAAAAAAATCAAAAACTAAAAATTCATTGAAGACAAGTTTTAATACTAATATTAAAAATACAAACTTATTTAAAAATACTAAAATTATTTTTATATTATTTAATAATATATTAAAACGTATATACTAACATAAAAAAAATAGTTTTAACACTATTACATCTTGATTTTATTGGATAAAGAAAACTAAATTTATTAAAGTTGAATAAAGGATGTATTTTAGTTTGAATTAC